ACACTCTCTCCAGAGGGCGGCAACCTGGGGTAGAGCCTCTCACGTCTCCATCTTTGGTAGAGTGTTGGTAATAAGCAATGCACTTTTCTCCTTGCTATGGTTTGTTGCGGCGGTAAGACCTTTAGGAAGGCACCTGTGCTCCTTAATACGGTGTACGACTGCAAAATTTATTTGGAAACCATATGCCACAGAAGATGAGGGATTTTTGTCAAAAGTGGCATGAGACATGTTGTGCTATCCCAAGGAGGAAGGAGGTCTCGGGTTGATCGACCCCCAACGAAAGGGGATGACGATGTTGGTCCACTGGGCAGTCAAAGCTATCTGCTCTCGATCAACTGATGTTTGGACATGTTTCCTCTTGCCGTCTTATCAAAACCGTCGAATCAAATATTAGTTTTGAAAAGCTGTCATGACGACCTGGAAAAAACTGAAACCCAACTCTTGGACTAATCCTTCCACCAAGACAGAAATCCTACTCCAACCTCTGTTTGAGAACCCGATAATACTTAAATCGGACAGCAACTAGTTCTCTGCAGATTCTTCCCGCAACAGCTTTGGGAGGAATTGGATAGAAAGAGGTGTGTTGAGAATTGGGGATATTTGGAACATGCTGGAAGGTCAATGGGTATCTCCCTCTGCCTTGCGTGAYGCACTAGGCTTAGTCTGGTACRTAGAGGAAAGAYTAACTGAGCTTATTCAAGCTATCCCYATGSAATGGAAGTGTATTTTGAGTCCTWMGGGGGTTGACCCCCCGGGTACATGGTATATCTCTCAKAATATTGGTCATGGTCATTCATTTTGGAAATTAACAGGGACCGGGACRAATGGGAAAAGAGAATTTCAACAGTGGGRGGGGATCRGTTCAGACAAACCCAAGGAACTGATTCAAATCAGCGAACAGAATCACCCACCGTTAAATGCTATTCTATCCCAGGTCCGTGTCTGGAAGATGTGCGATGAGGAAGGGGGTTGGACATGTCAGGTATTTGCAGAGGGTAAAGYTATTCRGGAAYTGAAACTTGATCCCAGGATGTGSGGTTGGAAAGGTGAAGGAACAGGTGGGGAAGACCTACCACTCCACCTGTATTCCATTGAATTAGGCYATACTTCTCAGATGTCRTCTCGTAACCCAAGGGAAGTTGCAGTAGCAAGGTGGAATCAAGTTTTGGATCTGGACTGTCAAGCAATAGAGAGAGTTTTATCCGTTGTTGGCAACAACTGTCACAAACTCCATGTCCAAGACTGGCAGTTAATCTATGAATGTTTTCTCTGTGGCCATAGAGAAAGCGGTTAACTTGGTCCAACGACAATTAACGATTGGGATGACTTGCAAAAGATGCAATTGGGCTTTTGAGTCGACCACCCATTTGTGGTATGATTGCCCAGCCTCTCTCAGAATCTGGGAATGGTGGAAAAATTTATGGGATGATATCTCAGATCGATACTTACCATGGAACCGGGAATGGGTCCTCTTGGGAGGGTTGCCAGATGATTTGGAACCCTCCGAGGGATGGGGCTATATAGCCCAGGCAGCCCGAGTAGTAGGTTGTGATGCTGCCAAACTGGACAAGGGCCTCGTCCAAGGCCTGCTGCACCTCCGCATCGTCACAAAGCGTCGCGTCCCGGAACTCTGGATCTAGCAGCATGGTTGTCGTGTGGGCGGGGGGTCTTGAACATGGTGCGCCGCCTGTGGAACACCTCCACAATAGCGTCCTGCTGCTCCCGATCAATGTCACGACATGCGGATAAACAAGATGCAATCATTTCCTCGTAACGTCGCAGAATCTTGCTGATCTGGCGTGTGTCGCTGTCCACCAACTTCAGCATGCCCATGATGGGCTCTAGCATCTTGCACAGAGCTCTCAAATCCTCCCACCATGGAGGGGAGCCGATCCATGCAGTGACCTCCACTACATCCTTGCGGATCGAGCTGGTCGACCAAACAGTCTCGCGCCAGCGATCGTCGGCTACAACATCTGTCAACGCGGCCCGCAGCGCCACCAGCCTCTCCATCATGATGACGTTCGTGCCGAAACGCGTCTCCGCCGGTAGCAGAAGAGTCTTCGTCGAGTGCGCCTCAAGAACCTCTCTCGCATGTCTATGGCGCTTGAAGAACCTTGTAACCAGCCTCGCTTGAGAAATGCGGGAATCCACCCAATCAATCCCGCCGATGTCCTCGAGAATG